CGCCACGAGCCACATGGCTCCATCCTGTCCATTTTCAGAAAGGCCACACATCCCCATGAAGGAACACCATCTGATACGCTCCTGGGTGTCCAAGAAGGCCCCAAAGGGGCACAATGAGGCCAAGGCTCCTCAGGGACATCTGTAGGAGCCTCCCAAGTGGACTCTGACCTCCCCCAGCTTCTGATTCTCTAGCCCAGTGGCTGCCAAGTGCAAACCAGAGCTTCACCCCTCTGCCATCCACAGACAGCCCCATTGACATGCCCTGCTCAGTGCAGCCGGCAAGCCCTGGTATTAATAGCTGATGGTTTTAATACCCTGGATGAGCCAATGTGTGCGGCAATCAGAAGGCCCCTGCCTCCACCCCCCACCCCCCGCACCGTGCTCACTGTGTAATTACGCGTGATCATGGCGCAGTGAGCGCTGATTGCGACTCAGAGGCCATCGCCTACTTTCGGGCTGGTGGGGCTGGAGCCCCCGGCGGCCTAACGAGGGTAATTGAGGCAGGGATGATTGTGCCGGAAAGCTGGAGGGGACTGAGCCATGAGAACAGGCCACGTCACACCCCAAATGGGACGCATTTGCTAAATTTATTTCCGATGCAATTTCATGGTGATTACACTGATTTCTCTTTAGTAATTGAGCCTGGCGCTGAGCTCAGTGCCTGCAGCCCGGCTGTCAGGACAGGCCCATTTTGGAGCAGGAGGTATTATGATTTATGGACCACTGTCAGAGCCCTCAGAAAGGAAAGACAGTGCAGGAAGGCAGGTGGAGAGAGCTGCCAGGGCTCTCTGGGAAACTCCCTCCTGATATGCTGTGGCCGGATTTCGATCCGGCTCTGTCACTTCCCACTGTGTGCCTTTGGGCAGCACCTGTGTGCCCCCCAAGCTCCCCAAGTGTTGGGGATAAGAACCCCTACCCATAGAGGTCCAAACCAGTCCATTCACCAGCCACGCTTGGACAGTGGCTGAGCTACAAGTGGTCCATCAGCAGGTATGTCCTTTGGGGACGTGTCCCACCTGTCCCACCCAGAGACAGGCCTGCCGCATCCAAAATCACCACCGTTGATCCTATGCCTACCCTCTGGGTCAGCAACAGCCATCCCTATTGGGCCCTGGAGGAGACGGGCCTCGAGACGGGGCCGCTGGGCAGAGCCACATGCCAGCAGAGACTGCACCAACACCGTTTTCATCAGAAAAGTACTGGCCCAGATCTTCCTGGGATGGGAGAGCATGTCTGTGCTGCAAAGGCCAACATTCCCCACTGGGTTCCTCAGCTACAGGGCTCCCAACAAAAAAGAATGCTCCTGGCTGAGAGAGTCTGATAAACGCGGCTCCAGGCCCTCGCTGTCCAAGGTGGCCTGAAGTCCCTGGAGCAGCCAGGCCCCTCCTGGCTCTCTGGAGCACCATCTGCATTTGGACAAGGTCCCCCGGGAACCAGTGCTCCGAGCCAGGTGTTCCTGACCTTACTGCCCAGGAGAAGCACCAGAAGAACCTCTGACAGGTAGCTTGTAGGGTCCGTGAGGGGCTCAGGCCTTGGTGGCTTTCAGTCTCGCTGACAGTTCCTGAGTGCCTCCAAGGTCCCCAGAACCCCTAGCACAGCACTCCCGCCCCAGGGCAGCAAACCCCCGAGGCCTGGCGAAGCGGCGGTGGCCAAGAGCCTGCTCTTGCAGGCAGTTCTGGGGTGATGTGGCTGTGCTGATGTGAACCCCACTGGGAGCTGTCAGCACCCAGCTTGGCGGGCAAGGGGCCTGGTGCCGAGCAGGAGTGTAGGGCGCGCCTGCCGGGCTGTGGGCCCTGCCCCAGACCCCTCCCAGCAACGAACACTCAGAGCCAAGAGATTTAGCAAAAATGTTTAATCTCTCTTTAATGTGTGTGTGTATTTACAAGTACTAAATCTGAAGAACAGTAAAATAGGAAATAGCCGTGTATTTACACGATCCGCGGGCCGAGGGCCCGTCAGCCACACTGCTCCTGCGGGAGAGCGACCTCCGGGCGGGCGGCTCGGGCTGGCCGAGTGATCACTCTTCTTTTGGGTGGGGGCTCTGTGGCGTTAAAGGACAGCTAATTGTGGGCTTCGTCTTAAAAATATCTTTCTCTCTCTCTAAATATATCTATTCTAGCTTGTGTAGCACCAACGACGTGAGCCATCAGATCCAGAACTGGGGAACCAGGGTGGGGGTACTCTCAGCAAGGCCAAACCAGGGAAGGTGGGAGGGAGGTTTGGGGCCCTCCATCTGGGGTACCCCAGGTCCCTCTTCCACAGCCCCCAGCCCCGGCTCCTCGGGCACTGGGTCAGGGAGTACAGGGCAAGCTCGAGGTATATGGAGAGACCAGGCTCCCAGAGCGAGGTGTGAGCTGTCTGGGGGCACTCCTGAGACCGTGCGGATGGGGGCAGGGCGGGGAAGGGGGAAGGCCAGGCAGGGGGGTGGGGAGGAGTGGCCTGTAGCAGGGCAGGCAATAGCAGCAGTGTCTGGGACAGGCTGGGAGCCCTTGCAGCCCACACTGAGGCCTGGATCCCCCAAGCCCTGGGACAGCAGAGGGGCGCCCACCCCGTTGCTCAGAGCAGGGCTTCAGTTCCAGGCTCCTGCCAGGCCCCTGTGCCAGTGTCAGAGCTTGGGGTGGGAGCCCCTGGCAGGAGGATGCGCAGAGGTGCCAATAGGGTGCTACAGGATTGGGAGGGCCATGGGAAGTAGTGACAAGGAGGAGGCAGGGCCTAACTGCACGACCCAGCAGGAAGGCAGGTGCGCAGGATCTGCTGCAGGGGTGAGGCAGGCCAAAGACCAGCTCCACGGGCTCGCATGTAAACAGGTACTGCTAAAGTGCTTGGCCTCCCTCTGCCACCATTGCCCTGCCCGCCCACTGTCCAAGTGACAAGGGCATGGGGAGGGCCCCGCCCTGGAACCTGTCGCCTTGCAGAGGCAGGCACAGGGGGCTCGGCTCTGCGGGGACCAGGGAGGGCAGAGGAAGGGGCTGGAACTAGATTCTGAAGAGGAGGGACACAGGGGCCGAGGAACCCCAACCTGACCTCACGGAACTGGAAGAACAGGGGCTTCACATAGAAGCCAGCATCCTGGGAAGACTTTCAGGGAGAACGAGGCTTGCCCCCAGACGCGGCCAGACATCAGAGGGGAGGCAGGGGTGCATCCGGGGACAAGAATCCAGGCCAAGGCGAGCCGTTACCAAAAGACAGCCAGATCTCTAGACAGACCGGCCTCAGCTGGGCTGCCCAGGGACGAGTCTACAGGGGCTGCGCTGGGGCCGGTGATGGCCTGAGCTCCAGCAGGGCACCCACAGCCGCAGGAGGCCCGAGCCCTGCCCGGTGCCCATGGGTCCCCCGTCCAGCCTGTGCCAGGAGCTTCCTGCACCAGGAGCGCTCGGACTTCACGGAGCTCCCTCACGGGAGGAAGCGGCCCCTGACCTGATCTCCAGGGTGTGGCTCACGCTGCTTAGGAGGGGGGACCCCAAGACAGGCAGCCCGTGGGCGCAGGGCCGGCCACAGTTAGCTGTCCCTTAAAGTCCGCGGGAATCTTGAGTACCGTCGAAAAAGTGAACTTGAAAAGGGGCTGGGCCGCTTGTTTGTACTCACAAGTGACTGATTAATTAAAAAACATAAAAAAAGGGGTCTAACAACCTCTAGTATTCAACACTTGCAGTTTTAAAAAGATCAAGTCAGACTAAACGCTAGCACGGTCATGCAGGAATCCATGGCCCCGCGCCCTGGACACTCTCGAGGGGCCAGCGAGAAGGTTTCTCCTTTGTACGTCAACAAACAAAAACAGGATGACCCGCAGGTCGAGGGGCAGAGGCCTTGGGGGCGCGCCACCAGGGGAAGCCCTGGCCACTTCCTCCACGACCGTTTGGTATTGCTTTCCCACTGCCTTAATTTCCTTATTCTACATTGTGAAATTTCTCCTCCTCCAGTTAACTATACAGGACCCCACTGGGGCTGGAGACTGAGGCTAGAGCCACATATATATATATATGTACAGAGTTCTTTTAATTAAAAACGTGCTCTTTCTTGCTCACTGAGGGCGGATGGGCAGAGCCAACCTCCAGGCCCTCTGGTCACTGCGTCCTACTCCCAGGGGCCCTGCCACAGCCCCGGCTGCCCACCCAGAGCGCTCCCCTGAAACAACCAAAACAAGTCCCCCAGACGTCCCACCGCGCTGCAGAGATGTCGGACCGGAAGCCGCTGAAAGTGGACGTGGCGAGCAGGGGACACGGAGGGGGAACGAGGGAGGAGGGTGGCCGGGGGCTACTCCCAAGACCCGCGCGGCCGGAGAGCACAGCCCGCCCAGGGGCTGGTGCCAGGAGCGGTACTGTGGGGGAATAAATAACGGGAACGTGCGCTCATGACCCGGAGCCCCAGGCCCCAGTGGCTCCCAGAGGCGCAGCCCTGAGGACAGGAAAGGAGTCACCGAGTCCTTCTGGAAGTCACATGGGGGCGTTGGGCGAACCGTTCTGCAGCCCCTCCACAGGAGGGAGCTGGGGCCTGTCTGGGTGAGGTTGATGTGGCGCTCCGGCCTCGGCCGCGGCCGCGGAGAGCACGCGGTGAATCGGAGGATGGTGGCGGTCGTGCAGCAGCGAGCGTGGGGGTGCCAGACGCGGCGGGCGAGCAGCGGCAGGCGGGCCGGCTTCAGCTGCCCTCGGCTGGGCCCTGGGCATTCGGCCTCCCCCGCCCAAGGCTGCCATCCGGGGCCCGCACCTCACACTCCGCCCAGGACGCCGGGAACGGCTGGCGCCCTCCTATAGCCCCTCGTCCTGGCCCTTCTGACCTTGGCATCACGGCCTCAGGGAGACAGACCAGGTCGGCTACCCCTTTCCCGGAGGGCTCCAGCCTTACCCACTGGTCCTCGGCGGCACCCTCTCCTCCCCAGGAGCCCCTGGTCACAGCTGGGCTCCCCCCGCCCCGTGGTGAGCAGCTCTGGGCACGGGTGGCACTGCAGGCACGGTCCCCCACACCAAGAAGAACTGGGACCCCCGCCAGGCAGGAAGAGGAGGGGGAGGGCCGGGAGGACGCTGGACCGCACGCCCGGCCCCGAGCGCCCTGGCACTAGGCACAGTTGGGGCGAGGCTGCCTCCGGGGCCTCCCAGCTCTGGCTGCCGGACGGAGGCCGCGCCTGCGGGCCCTGTAGCTCAACTCCCACTGGGCGGTGATGGCCAAGTGTCTCAGCTGCTCAGGGCCATCGTGTCCACCACCTGCTCCAGCTTGCTCCGGAGCCGCTGCCGCCGCGCCTGCTCATCCTTCTCCAGGGCAGTCAGGATCTACGAGGGTAGGCGCGGGCGTCAGTGAGCCTGGCCAGGGTCACCTGCTCCCGTGGGGCGGGTACAAGAAAGCTTGAGGTGGGGCGGGGTGCCCAGGGAGCATGTCACACGGCCACCACCAGCGGGGCCTCCGGAGTCGGCACTAGACTCCACTCCTTCCATTTCAGCTGAGAGGTCTGGGTTGAGCCTGGACCCCCAGGACCCCAGTGTAGAGAATGAGTCCCCCAGGTCACCATGCTTACCCTGTCCCCAAACCGGGCTTTCATCACAGCCAGCCCTTGGGGCTCTCTCAGTGCAGGTCTGTCAGAGTAGGGCCTGGCCTCACGGGGCACAGACACCACCCCCTCACAGCCTGCTCTGCACCCCAGCTCCGCCTGAGGCACCGAGCACTCGCTGGGCCCTCCGCTTGCCCACACTCCTGCGTCCTACTGGCCGTCAGCCCACCAGAGCACAGCCCCGCCGCCCCCTCACTGCACCCAAGCGCCCCCAACCACTGCCCGTTTCTCCGCACCCCGTTATAGCAGAGCTCCTCAGAAAGGACTGCGAGCTCCCCTCTGCTCTCCCTCGAGGGCTGAAAGAAGGCGGGCTTCAGTCCCCAACCTGTAGGCCATTCATCCTCCTCCGCACTCGGCCATCTGCCGTGGCCTGTCCCTGGCTCTCAGTCCCAAGGCTCTGCCTGTCCCGGCTCTGGACTCACCTCTGGGGCTGCCTCCTCCCTTCACGGATGCCTCCTTCTCTCGGCTGCCGACCCCACACTCGGGCCTAGAGCCTGAGACTCTCCTGCTCTCAGATCTTTCCCCTCACACTTGAATAGCTGCGCCCCTCACCCCTCAGACCCCTAGCTCCTGCAGCCCGCCTCACACTTCCTGTCACTCAGCCACAGGTCTGGAGACAGGCCCACAGCCAGTCCGACAGGCAAGACCTAGCCCCTGAACCCCACGGCCCAGCAGCGTGGCCGCAGCCTTGCCAGTCTCTGCCTCCCTCTCGTCCCCTGCTATCTGGCAGTCCAATCACGGCTCTAAACCTTGAAGGCCCATCTCACTCAGGGAACAGCCCAAGTTCCCCGAGGTGTGTACACCAAGGGACGAACCCTGCCTTAGCCTTTCCTGCTCCTCCCCCAGGGCCGGCTGATTCAGCCTCCCAGCCTCCGCCGTCCTGCAACAGGGCCCACTCTGGCCTCAGGGCCCTGGCACTGGCCAGGCCCATCCTGCTGCTCCAGCCCTTTGTGCCCTATCCAATCCAGCCTCTAAGTCCATCCTCCCTCCCCAGACAGCTCAGGGAGCCCCAGCTCGGCAGAGACACCTAGGAGGCCTCCTGAAGCCTCACTCCAAGTCAGCAGGGGAAGGTGCTAAAGGTTGAGGAAAGGCCTGGTACCCTGCCCTGGAGACATCCACCCAGGCTGATAAACCCTGTAATGGGCCCTCAGGGCACAGGCACTCACTGACCCACAGTCTCCACCTTGGAAAGACACTGCCGTCCACTCCCCCACCCCCCACAATGACCAGAAGCACAATCCCTGACCTAGTGCAGCCCAGCCCGACCCTGCCAGGCCTGGCAGGGAGTCAAGACAGCATTCCCTCCCTGCCCCAGTGAGCAAGGTGGCCAGTCGGGGTGCAGAGTGGAAAAGGCAAGCGCCCGGCCAGCCCTGAGACGTGGGGAGGGGCTGATGGGGCAGGGGTAGCTGAAGGGACTTTAACGGAGGACGCTTGCTTGGCAGCATCTGGCAGGGGTCTGAGCTGGGCGGGCGTGGGAGAGGGGGCTCTGGGTGAGGGCCAGTGCGTGTGCTCACCTCATCCTTGTACTTAGTGATGTAGGAGTAGATCTCGTGCAAGGCGCTCATGCTGTTGAACTGGCTCAGGTGTAGCCGCGACTGCTCAGCCAGGTAGGCGCTCATGTCCTGGTCACTGATGGCAGGCATCTTGGCAATGTCAGCATAGTACCTGCAGAGGGCGGCAGGGGGGCCGTGAGTGGGGTCCTGGCCCCATGCCCGCCTGCCCACCCGCCCCCCTGGCGCCACCTACCTCTCCACCCAGCTCTTGTAGTTGGGGATGTCCTTGGCATAGAGCAGCTTGTTGGAGGGTGAGTCCTTGCCCAGCTTGTGTTCAGACGTGGAGCAGGAGTCCATGAAGGTCTGGGCCACCACTGACAAGCAGGCGTCCGTGATGCTGCTCTTGTGTATGTCGAACACAAACTGCGGGTTCTTGATCACATTCACCCAGAAGCGCAGGGGCAAGCTGCAGGCGGGTGGGCCCAAGTGCATGGTCAGACAGGGCCTCAGCATCCCTTCCCGATGGTGTAGGGAAGGGGCTGGCCAGAGGGCCTGCAGCCCTCCTGGCTCTGACCTTCACATTGGTCATGGTTTTCCAAGGAGGTGGGGAAACTGAGGCCCAGAGAGAGCCAGGACTCTTGGTGAGTGCATCCCACCCCCCAGTGCCTCCAGGAGGGCAGCCCTCCCCCAGAGGCACACATGGGTGAGACGTACAGACCCCGAAGTGCTCCCTCACCTTTGGGTGCCCAGTGCACATGGCCACAGTCCTCCTAGACCTGCATGCCTGCTCACATCAGGGGTCACACAACCGGGTTGGCTCACCCCCATGGAAGGCACACACTCATGCAGGCACACCATGGGGCTGGCTCACACCTAAGCAGGTTCTCCTCCAGGGGAAGGCTCATCCCCAAGACAGGGCACACCTGGCCTGGCTCACCCCTTCTCCTACCCAGATGGGCCCTGGAAGCAAGACCAGGAAACGGTCCAGGAGACACAGCCCCACAGATAGCTGACCTCTTCATCCAAAATGCCACCTCTAGGACAGCCCTCAGCTAGAGCATGCACTAGCCACTAGCCATGTGTGGCAGTTTACAGAATTAAATGAAGTTAAAAATCCAGATTTTGGGTTGTACCAGTCCTTGGTCAAATGCTCAGTAGTCATACATGGCTGCCAGCCACTGCTATGAACAGCACAGATCTAGAACATTCTGCCATCACAGAAAATTCCCCTGGACGATGCAAACCTGCATGGCGCTGCCCCCTCTCCAGTGCCCCATGGAACCCTCTTAAGGAGCACAAGTGGAGCTGGAGGCCCAGGGTGGGTCCCAACCAGGGCCAGGGCTGCATCCCAGGCTTGGGAAGCAGCAGCTTGTAGAGGTCAAAGTCCTAGGAGAGCTAAGGTCACTGGGGGACAAGGGAGGAAGATGCCAATGGCCAAAAGCACAGGAGCTTCTGTGATAGGGCGAATGGTGCCGAGGGGCCCAGGGTCAGGCTCAGAGAGACAAAAGCCAGACTGGGTGGTGGCTGCTGGCCCCGTAGGGGGAGGGGGGAGGGCTTCAGGAGCGCTGGCTCCCACTGTCCTCACTGCAGCTGGTGAGAACGGGCCCATCCCACTGAGCCGACTACTCACACACAAGCCCGCACTCACACACTTGCACACAGCCACGCACACCCAAAGACACTCGTGAATCCACAGGCATGGGCACACACACATATTCACCTCCCACGCCTAAGGCAGGTCCCACAAGTTGGAGCAGAGGACATGCCCACACCCTGGGCGGGGAGGCATCAGATGCCCCCAAGATGGGTGAGTCAGGAAGGCGCACCCGCAGAGGGGCTGGCCTCAGCGCGGAGGCGGTGAACCCGGAGGGGCCTCTCTCCTCACCCGGGCAAACCTGTCCCTGGGGGCCAGCCTCCCGTGGCCCCACAGCCTCCAGCCCTCCCTGGCTGGACCCCTAGTGCCCTTGTTCCCTGCCCTGGGGTGCCCGCTACGCCCCATCCTCCCGAACCCACCAGTTGCTCTTCCACGTGTGGCGCACGTCTGAGTCGTGTATCTGGTGCTGGTCAGCCTGCTCGTCCAGGAAGTCGAACATGTACTTAATGGCCAACGGCAGGGCCGAGCCCCGGTGCGCTGTGCTGAAGATGGTCTCGAACAGATCATCCACAAATTTCTGCAGCGTGCCCTGCAGGCAGGCAAGGGCAGAGGTCCAGGGGGGCTGCCAGGCTGCCCCCTCACCTCCCGGGTGGCCTGGGCAGCTGGTTGCCACAGGATAAGGGTGAGGATGAGGGATTTGCTCTGAGCTCTGCTTTCTGAGGCCCAGGCCTGGCCGTTCCACCCCCCAACATCCCCACCACCTGCCCACCAGGGCCTACTTTGGTGGCCAGCAGCCGTGTCAGATAGATCTCGGAGACCATCTTGCTGCCTCGGTCGCCCTCCCGCTGGTCCAGGTGGTCATGATTCTTCACCAGGTGCCACAGCTTGGTGCCGCTCTCCAGGTCGGGCGTGATCATGGGGGTACGGGAGCGCAGGCTGTCGGGGCTGCTCGCTGTGCGCAGCATGCTCTCTGCGGGCACCCTGCTTGTCAGTGGGGGGGCCCTCCACGCCTAGCACCCAATGCCCACCCTGGTGCTGGTCAGGTGGCCCTGGCAGCTCCCCTGTCTGAGGCTGTTTCCTCATCTGAAAACTGGAATCAACAGCCCCACCTCCCTGGGTTGTTGGGGACAGACAGAGACATCAGGGAGATGGCAGAAAGGACCACTACGTAACGTCTGGGGAAAGGGAGCCTCCACATTTGAGGGAAAGCCATTTCCAAGGGACAAGCCACGAAGAAGGCCCCTCCCAGCCTGCAGCAGGGAGCACGGCGGTGGGGGGGGGGGGCGTCCCATCCAGGCCTGTGGGCCCTGCCGTCCCCATCTAGCCCCTCACCGTATCTGCTGAGAGACTTGGTAAAGGTGGATGAGTTGGAGATGTTGTAGGCGGACGTCTGCTTGGGCACCAGGGCCACTGAGGACCCGTCGGTCACCTGCGGGCAGAGAGCCAGGAGATGTGTGACCCATCATCAGGGGTCCAGAGAACACCCCCTTCCTGGTCTGAGCCTGGAGGCCAGTCACCTCAGCACTCTGAGCCTGTTTCCCCAGCAGTGCACCTGCAGGGCTGCGTGGGGCCCCTGTATCCTCTTCTCCTTGAGAGATCCGCTGCCCAGAGCCCAGCGGGCCTAGACATGGCACTGCCCTGGAGCCCCAAGAGGAGAGGCCCAAGCTGTGGCCAGAGGGTCAGGAAGCCTGGGGGTTGTTACCTGGTAGTGAGCCAGCGTGTTCAGCCTCTTCCAGTCGTTGTCAATCTTGGTGGTGACATCCTCATCCTGCAGAATGATGCGCGCCATGCGGCCTTGGCGCCACTCTAGGGGGAAGGGGAGTGCTGGAGGGGTGGGCCACCCGGGCAGGTGCCACCCACCCACCACTCCCTACCCATGATCCTGGCCTCTCAGAGCAGGAGGGAAAGGACAGGCCCCGAGGGAGCAGGGCATCCTGCGGACACTTACTGAGAGGCCCGGAACGGCAGAATGAGGGAGAGACAAGGCTCCTCCCCTCCTCGAGGCTCCCGTCCTGGCTCTGAGCAGGACACACGCACCCCTGCGGCTAAGCCCTGCATCCCTGCTGCTGCCCACGCCCCCTCCGGCAGCCCTCCACCTGTTGCAGCTGCTCCACTGGGGGCAGCCCGGCCCTCCCGCAGTATGCCCTGCCTTCCAGAGCTCTAGGCCCTCCTCCTCAGGCTGGCATTTGAGGCCAGCATGGTGCCCCACCCCGGCTTCTCCAGCCACAGCTACCACGCGAGCCCCGGGCCCTATACCTCCCCCCGCCTGCTTGGGCCCTTCTAGCTCTGCAGCCACCCCTACCTGTCTGGCTCGTGAGCCAGAGCGGCCCCCTGCCCCAGCCCCGACAAGCCTACCCCCTCCTCGGTACCCGGGCACCCACCACCTGCCTGTCCCCTGAAGGGCAGCAGCCTCTGAATGGATTTCCTGCTTCTTCCCTCTGTCCTGGCCGGGAGCAGCTTTCCAGAGCCCAGCCCAGACCACATCCCTTCCCATAGAGCCCCCCGCCCCATGGCCTGCAGCACCCCCAGACCAGCACCGTGTCCGGCTCGCTGCCTCTGGCCTCAGGCCCCTGGCACACGCAGCCCACTTCCCCGAGCAGTCAGGCTCACCCAGGTCCATGTCCCCAGCCTTTGGCCGCTGGGAGTAGGGCACACCCTTGTACACGGCATCCAGCAGCTTCTCCTTAACCTGCGTCACCGTGTCACAGTTCAGCCCCTTCACTGGCACCTCAGGTGCATTCTCATTCTCGGGGTTCACACAGTTCAGCGTCTGCGGGCAGGGCGGGGTGCAGCGTCAAGCCCCACCTCTCTGGGCGCGCGCTGTGCAGGGGTGCACGGAGAGGGCAGGGCTGCACGGGACGGCTGGGCTCGCGCTCACCAGTGTCTTATAGTCGATCTGCTGCCGGATGAGCTTGTCCTCACTCAGGGAGTAGCGGGCCTCGCCCGTGATGGCATCAATGGGGCCCTTCTCCATCTGCTGCTTGATGGCGCAGTAGAGCATGAAGAGGGGCTCCCCTGCGCACTCCTGCAGCAGGCAGGTGGGTGTCAGCTGTGTCCAGGACACCCAGGGGCTGCCGCCTCCACCCTCCACTCCCAGCTTCTGGTGCAGCTGTGTGCACGCTTCCCACAACGAGAGAGGAGCAACTTTTCCAAATTCTTTTTAGCAGACAAGCAGATTCCTGATTCTAGAGCCCCAAGAAGGTGGTGCAAGAAAATAAATACGTTGAACAACAGACCAGCTGCCCCTGTGAACTTCGAAGTGAAAATCCTAGTGTGGCCTCAACCAGGAGGAGCACACAGAGAAAAACGCCATGTGGCCAAGCTAGGTTTATGCCAAATAAGACCAAGGCCGGTGGATTCCTCCCTGAAGTCTCCCCCAGGTCAGGCCTCAGCGGGCCCACCACCCCAGCCCCCAGCCCCCTGCCTGTGCTCCAGCACCCCACTCTCCAGAGCCTGACCTAAGCAGCCAACACGGCACCAAGGCTCCCAGGCCCACCCCATGGCCCAAGGCACGGTGGACCCTGTGCCGCACAGCACTGTGTCTGACGGTGACGGGCTGGATGTCAGAGGCCCACCCAGCTGGGACCCAGCCTTGCAGGCAGAGGACCACCCCTCCTTCCATCACCTGAGAGCACAAGGCCAATGCAACCATGGGTGCAGACACACTGACCTGGAGCTGCGACTCTCCAGTACCGTGGGACACAGGAGTCCGTGGCCAAGACAACGTGAGGTGGGCCCCAGGCACTCAGCAGGAGTCTGCTTTGCCCCTGCCTCTGACCACTTGCCCTCTGGCTCCCCACACTGCAGCCACCAAGGCCATCTCCTACTCCTCCACCAACCAAGCATGTCCCCACCTCAGGGCCTTTGCACCTGCTTGTCCCTACAACCAGAAATTTCTCCCTCAGATCCTGGCTGTGGACAGAAGCAGCCCAGGCCAGTCTCTGGTATCCCCCCCCACAGCAGGTATGGGCATGGCCACCTCCCCGCCTCGTGGCCCTGGGCCATCTCCTCCCGCCCAGCATGTTCCCTCACGTGTACGGTGAGGGGGCAAACAAGTACTGGAAGGAGGAGCGCTCTGAGTAAATGTGGCCTCCCTCTCCCTCTGCTCACCACCCCCCCATGTCACCACCCCTCACAAAGCAGGCCCCGCCCGAGAGCCCAAAGCACAACCCTCAGACAGCACCACACCCACACAGCCCGTCCACCTGCCGTGTCCTGTGTCGCGCTCACACGGCACACACACCCAACCCAGGTTCTCAGACCGGACATCAAAATGAGTCCCCTTTCTCTGGGTGTGCAGAATCAGGGCCAGACAGGGAGGAACGGAGACAGGGCTTGACACCAGTCCTTGCTTCTCTTGGCTTACAGAACACCGTTTTACGAGCACATAAGTGCCCCCTGCACGGTCTGCACAGAATTGCATTTCTACAAGAAAGGCACGAGTCTGTCACAGGCCACCAGTTTTGTGCAATGATAATGTTGTTTACGGGGCACTTGTCATGTGCCCAGGATTCTGAGACTCTGCCACTGCTCCCTCCCGCTGTGGCCCCCACCGGACCAGCCCCGCCTGGCTCCCCCGGGGCCCCCTCGCTGGAGCTTGCACGTACCTCGGGGACCTGTTTCCCTCGGGCTGGCTAACTCCTTCCCTTCCTTCACACCTTTGCGCAAGTCCCTCATCCCCTGGATTCCCTGCCCCTTCTCACCTGACCTCGCATCCCAGCATCCCATCCACGCCTCTCTCCCCAGTCAGGGCGAGACTCTGCCCTAGGCACCTCCAAGAGTCCACCGCTATCCTCAACTCAGTGAGGACCCCGGCAACTAAGGTCCATGACCAAGAAGCAACCACAGTAAAATTGAGCCCCAGGCCACCTGCGGCCAGCCCCCACCCGTGGCCACTGGGCTCCACTTCCTATGACCTTGGCCATCTGCAGGGCATCAACCAGATGCCAGAAACCAGGTGGGAGCACACTCGAACCATACACACTGGGCTACGCTGGGCATCCCCCATCCACCTCTCCAGCAGGACTGTGGGCTTGTCTGCCAAGCCTTCAGATTTTAAGAGAAGCAGATATTTGGCTCTGAATCATCTCATTTCTAAAGAGCAAGTAACCAGTCTCACTACTTACACCCCCCAAAAAATCCACCTGGACCGTATCTAGTGTCCACCCTATTCTGAGGCTGGCCACGGGTCTCCAGGGCTCATCTTCTGAGAGTGGGGGCCTGTCCAGACAATAGAGGAGGCCCAGGCGGCCACCATCTCCCCACAACAGGGGCCAACAGGAGCCCCCAAGAGCCTCCCCAGGCTGGTCAGCACTGGGTGCTGGACACAGAGAAGTCCCTGCCCAGATGTCCCCTCCATCCCTGGCTCTGGGCCATGGGCTCAGCTACTGAGACGTGGGCCTGGGTCCAAACTCCAGCTTAGCCAGATGCTCACTGCAGCACTGGGGTGTCCACCCCTACCTTGGGGCTGGGTGAGGCATGGTCAGCCTCCAGGAAGAGGAGGAGGAAAGAGGCTAAAGAGACACATGTCCTGGGGGAATTCCTGCTGAGACTCAGTCCCCAGCCGAGCTCCTCTGGGCTGAGACCCGCCCCCTCCACCTGCCCGTGACTCTCTCTTCTCCTATTTCCCTTGAGCCCATCCACCTGCCTGACACCCCACCTCTGATGTTCCCTCCTCCTCAGGAGCCACCTACCTTCAGGAATTTATACAAAAGGAAGGTGAACCAGTTGGTCAGCATCTTTTCCGCCACTGACTCGGTCCTGGGGGGCACAACACGAGGGGGGTGGCTTGACTCCACCGCCATGCCTGCTCACTGTGCCCACCCCACTCCCGCCTGGGGTGCTGAAGGTCAGGCCCTGCAAGGCACTGCAGGCGTCAGGCGGCTGGGGGCTGCCATGGAGACCCCAGCCCTTGGCCCCAGAGCCAGGCCTCTGAGCTGGACAACTCTGGCTTGGCACCAATGGGCACTGGGTGCGGCACGCTCTGGGGTGGGGGCCCCGCGCCCGATGCGCCAGCTAGGGTCTGCAGGTCGGAAGTCCAGGCTCACCGCCGCAGCAGCAGCTTGGGGTGGTTCTTGCTCTCTAGGTTCTTCTCGATGAGGTCAGACAGCAGCTGCTTGAGCACCCCCGTGGCATATTCCATCTCACCCTGCAGCGCCGTCATGATGAGTGAAGCCACATTCCCACGGTCTCGCATGGAGAAGCTGCGCTGGGCCTCCAGCGTGCGGATGAAGGTCAGCAGAAAGTGCTTCTTGGTGAGCAGCTGCCCAAACAGTGTCAGTGACTTCTCCACGTTGGCCTGCACCTGGGGAAGGGGCAGCCCACAGGCGCGCTCAGACCCAGAGGGGCACCCAGCCCCCACATGAGAGGCAGGAGGGGAAGGCTGAGGGCAGGGCCAGAGAGGAGGCCTTGAAGGCAGGGGACATGTTGCCCTAACAGGTCCCTGGGCCTCAACTGTCCTTAGTAGAACGGATGTGTCCGGGCAGCTACTTGAGTAGCCCACCACAGGCAGGGACGGGGCAGACCAGTGTCAGTGGGAGGTGCAGAACGAGGGCCACCCTCTTTGCAGCCAGACCCTGGGACCACCACCTCCTGAAGCCTCGCTCTGGTAGCTAGAAGGAAGCCAAACTCAATGCCCCATCTGCTGGGCACCAGCACAGAACATCCATGGTCTCACTCTGCACTCACAACAAGAATCACCTTCCCCACTCCACAGGGGACAATAAAGTATCCCCCCACACAGCGGGTATGGGCAGGTAGTCCCAGCATGGCCACCTCCCTCCGCGTGGCCCTGGGCCATCTCCTCCTGCCCAGCATGTTCCCTCACGTGCACAGTGAGGGAGCAAACAAGAATCAGAAGGAGGAGTGCTCTGAGTAAAGGTGGACTCCCTCTCCCTCTGCTCACTACCACGTGACATGGAAGTGGGGAGAAGGAGTGGAATGCAGGCATGGCTGGCTCCAGGGCCCCTACTCTCTCTCTTACACACACCAAGGCTTGTCAAAACAGGAGATTCCCCACCAGGCCATGCCAGAGGCTGCCAGTGCCACTGCTCCCAGCCCAGGCAGACAGGTGACAAGACCCAAGTAGAACACAGTCCCAATTAAGAGAGCCGTCAGGCTGGCACAGCAGAGGACCACATCAGGAAAGAGACGTGACAAGGCATGTGGAGCCCTTGATGTGGCAGCCATCCCTGGGATGAGGAGCTGATGAGCAGCCCAAGGCAGCCCTGGGCCTGAGCCAGAGTGATAGGAAGGCCCATTCCAGCAGAGCTCAAGAGGGACTGTCCCACCGAGAGAGCTGCGACAGGGAGGGGCTCCCCCACATCCGAAGTGTGCACAGATGGGATGCCCTCGGCAGGACAGCATGAACGAGCTGACTTGCTGAGCCTCTGCCTGTTTCCGGCTGGGCACTGGGCTCCTGGCCTGCCGCTGGGGGCTCCTAGAGGACTTCGGGGCCAGCCCTCTTCCTCTCAGCAAGCTCATGCCAATAGCCTGAGTACTGCCAACACCTCCAAAAAGCAAAAGCCCCGCTCCGTGAGGGCCGCCGTGCTGCATCAGCCACACACTCACCCCAAACAGCCACGCAAAGTCCAGCTGAGCCCCCACACCTCCCAGTCCGCACGGCAGTAGCCCCCTGCCCAGTGAGGCTCAGCATCCAGAACCAGCCAGGAGACAGGCCAGGTGAACGTGCACAGGCGGTACACAACGCACTCAAGGCCTCGATAAAATAGAGGCAGGTCCCAGTGAACCCAGGCTCCAGCCAAGGTGGCTGGCTGGGATGAAGCCCAGCCCCGACCGCAGGCCCCCTCCAGGCCCATCTCCCTGCCACTGCAGAAGCACTACGGGGAGCCAAGGGCCCTGCCTCCCAGTGCCCCTCCCAACACGTGTGGGCCATCCCCCAGGGGCCCCAGGCTGCCCGACAGTAACCAGGAGCCCCAGCAGTGGGCAGAGGTCCCAGTGAGCCCCAGCCAACAGCCCACCTCCATCTCCTTGAGCACTGGATGGTCCTCGATCCCGGGGAAGAGCACCCGCATGGCGTACGTCCGGTAGTCAAGGAACGGGATGCCGGCACCATCCAGGTCATTGGTCAGCTCGTGGATGTCCGTCTGCAGCTCCGCAAAGGCTGCAGCCAGACGAGGTGTCAAGGCAGGTGCCCCCCCAAGCCCTCCCACCCTCAGGGCCAGGCTCCAACTCTGGCTCTGCGGCTCGCTGGCTGGGTAACCTTAAGGAAACCGCTCAGTTCTCCCAGTGCTAACACCTGGACAAAACCTCTGTCCCTCTGACGTATCCCAGGATGCACCAGACAACAGCAGAGTAGGTGCTGCGCCCAGGGCCGGGCTGAGAGGGGCTTCCTGCATCTAACGCTGGCACCGGGGGGGCAAGGAAACTATGGGTGCCGGCTCCCTCCACCACCCTGGGGCGCACACTGCCCGCCCCGGCTCCCCTGAACCCTCCACTCTGACAACCGCCACACGCAGAGCTCAGACCCGCGGGCCCTCTCCACTGCCCACCCTGCTCAGGGCAGCTCTGCTTCTTTTGGAAACAAAGGCAGGCAGGGCAGGGGCAGGCCTCAACGGAACATTCCAAAGCTGGGAGGTGTCTGCCCTGCAGCGGCCTGAGGGAGGCTCTATCTGATCAGGAGCCAGAGGAACGCGAGGCGGGCTCTGGGGGATGGCTGGCAGGTTTAATTAAGAGCAGGGGCCTTCACCTCCTGGGCACTGCTGCCAGGCGTCTGATTACCGCCGCCTGGCCGGCCCTGCAGCACCCACCAGCCTCTGCCCCCCACACTGCGCTGGCAGATAAAGGCATCCTGCGTGCTGGCCGCGGCACACGGCTGTCGTCATCCTGAGGTTCTCCCTGCCCACAGAGCTCCCCATCTAGGCCACCTGACTCCCACCCAAGCCTCACACACCTGCCTGTGTCCCACGGGGTGGGTGGGTCGGTCCAGGACCTTTCAGTTCTCAGATGGGCAAGGGTCCTGACTAAATGGGACACTCTAGTTCCGGGGGAGTCACCAACAGCCCAATGCCCGGCCTGCTGCAGGCACGAGGACCCCATGCAGCAGTCACCCCCAGGGCCTCAGCTCCCTTTCCCTCATGCCCCAAATAGGAACACTCCCACCACCTGCCTCCCAGAGCTGTGGCCAGCATTCACAAAACGTCTGAGGTTGCTCTTGGCACCTAAGACAGGTCCTTCACCTGTCAATTACCACTAGTGTGTCTCCATCCACCCCTTGTGACCACCCCCATTTCCCTGATGAGCCAGTAAGCTGGGGGCCACAAGGAGACGGGGGCCATCCCAGGCTGGCCCCCTGCCCGGGTCACCCAGCCCTGCGGTACCACCTCACACCAGCCACAGAAGCAAACCAGGTCTGAGGGTGGCCATCACAGGCCAAGGCTGCTGTCTGCCGCCTAGAGCCCGCGGTATGCACGGCAGCCGCACCCACCCCCTCAAGTGGCCAGCGTGCAGCCCAGGGCCTCCATCCCAGGCCACCAGGGCTCCGCGCGGGCCCTGACCTGTGCGCCCACCTCTCTGTGCCCACCCTGCAGCAGTACCCTTGGCTCCTGGGCAGGTCGGGCAGTATCTGCTCTGCCAGGAATGAGCACACTGGCCTCTCTGGGACATGAGGGACAGAAACAGAGTGGCCTCTGTTCCAACTTGGGGCCCAACCCCCCTCACCCTTCCTGCAGACACCCGAGCCCACTGCTCACATTTTTCTGACATCTGTGGCCCCTGCCTGTCAGAACCCACCCCATTCTCTGGGGTACCCCCCTCCTGCCCTTGGGGTCTGCCCACTCTCACTCGGGGGCTTCCAGGGGAGCAGGCTTCAGGGAAGGGGGCACGTGACCAGGCATGGCATCAGCAGTTGGGCAGGGCTGGGCCCAGCGGGAAAGCTGAGCTTGCCCCCTGTGCTGGTCCTGGCACCACAGGGAGGGATCGCTGAAGACGCAGCTGAGGGTCTGGCCCAGCCATGCTGGAAGCCAGCTGTGCCCCAGACTTTCCGGGCACAAAAGCCCACCCGACGTCTCCCTAATGACCTGAGCTGATTTCCACCACTCACACAGCAGGGTCCTAAGGGACCCAAGCCCCTCTTAGGAGGCTGGGCTGTGGCCTCATTCCCGAGATGGCTCCTCGAAAACAAAGACCAGTACCAGCCAAGGTCTGTACGTACTCAGGGCCTAAAGAAAGGGCCCCCGCTCCTTGGGGCCATGCCTGGCCCTGGAGACGGAATCACCGCACCCATGCTACAGATGAGGAATCTGAGACACAAGGTCGTGTGCCCATTCAAGGTCCTGCAGCCAAGCAGGGGCACAGATGCAAAGCTCTCTGGCTCCAGAGCCTGTGTCTCAAGTAACACCCATAGACGTTGTGCTCGCCCAGGGTCCAGCTGCAGGCCTTAGTCAGGGCCTCGCCCATATGCCCGAGCCTGAGCATGGCACAGCAAAGGCGTCGGGAAGGTCGAACACCGAAGAGACTTGTGGGGAGGACAGGGCCTGGCTCACATGCGGCGACAGCCAAGTAAGCCCCGCTCCCCGTGCTCCCCACTCCCCCACACGGTGTGCCTGCAGCTCTGACGACGCACCTTCCTTGCACTCCAGGGCCACGCGGGACTCCAGGTTGTCCATCTGCAGCTGCAGCCGCTTGAGGGTGCGGTCAGCATCCCGAGACTTACGCTTGTAGGCAATGAGTACGGCTACAATGACCAGCAGCAGGAGGCCCCCGCCCCCACCGATGCCGACGATGGCGGGCAGGGTCAGTAAGCTGTCCGAGTACACCTGCAGCATCCCTGGTGAGAATTCGAAGCCGCCAGCCCGCACCTGTGGGTGGGGGTGCAGGCCGATCAGGAGGCCCCTTGCCCACTGGGAGCTCCGGAGGCCCCTGGTACCATGCCCCTTGAGAATCCCACAGCACTTGCCCCTGGCCTGAGGTGGGCAGAGGGTGGGGATGTGGGGACTCGGCAGGTGCCAGGCCCACCAGGGGGCACCAGGGCCAGGCGAGGGCTGAGCTGGGCTCCCTCTGGGCCAGAGGCAAGTCTGGGGCTCAGCCACAGAGTTGGGATTGCCCTGGGTGGGGCAGGGTCAGTGGGTCAAAGGCAGGTGGGGCCCGGGAGACCAAAGCTGGGGCCAGAACATGGATGGGTGGGCCATGGACGCACCGTGACCTTGTGCTGCCCCGTGAGGTTGGGTGACTCGCAGAGCAGCTGGGTCTCTGACACGGTGAGGGCGCAGGGTGTGGAGCCGATGAGCACCGTGTAGTTGAGCCGCGCGTTGCCAGGCGCAGGGGGCAGAAGGTTCCGGCCCTGTGAGGGTGGGGTGAGCCAGACAGTCCCACTGCCCCACAAGCCCCCCTCCTGTGCCCCCACCCAGATCACAGTGGCCCACCTTGAGGATGAGCGGGGAGCTGGGCTTCAGCTCCAAGAGGCCCGTGGGGCTGAGTGGCTCCAGCACAGGGTCCGGGTAATAGAGGAAAGAGGAGGCGTTGAGCACCAGCAGCGCACGCACATCATCCATGACGAAGCCCAGCTCGTCGGGCCGCTCCCCCAGCTCCGGGGGGCTGCGCGTAGGGTTGTCCACCGACGGGGCCCGGCACACCATGGTGGTGTCGTTATACACCAGGCAGCTCTGGGGATGTAGGTGTGGATGCTGGGCTGGCTGCTCCCCGCATGGAGTCAGGCCCCGGCAGGACTGAGGGGCCCCCACCTTCCTTCCCCGGGGTCCACGTCCCCCCCTGCAGTGGCACAAGCTGCTAGGGGTCCCACAAGGACTCACGTTCTCCCTCTCGACACCTCCATACTTGGCCCTGATGCGGGGTTCGCGGACGGTGGCCAGGTTGGTGCCCGTGACCGTTAGGAGGGTCCCTCCGCTAGAAGATGGGGTAGGGGATCATGGGGGGAAGTTCTGCCCGGGCCCAGCACATAGGTTGGGCCAGACATGCCAGTCGGCCCCCCCGAAAGACAGCTGACAGGTTAATATCCCCACGCACCGGACCTCCAATGGCACCAACCACGTCTCAAGGTGGACACGGTCCATCGTCCTGAGAGCCGTGGCTCTGGGCACCTTACTGTGTTCCTTTGATCTTCCTGAGGAGCTCAGCATCCCAGAGTTTAGAGGACAATCTGTTTCCGTGATTGACACGAAAACCGGGTTGTTGCATCCAGGGCACGGTAGCGCTCTGGATCTTTTTCATACACCCATTTAGATTCTGCTCCCAACCCCCGCCCAGTGTTGAGAAGCAGAAAGAGAGGCGGGTGCAGGAGCGCCACCCTCGGCAGGACAGATGGGGTCATTGGGGCTCAGGGCGGGCTGGAGAGGGCACCCACCTGTTGATGCTCCACTCAGGGTCGATCTTCAGGATGGTGGGGTCCTCCGTATAGTTGTACTTCACCTCCGGGTTGGTGAGCTGAGCACGGTTGATGTTGATGACGATGGGGGCGCTGCCAGGGCTCTGCCCAGGGGGCGTCAGACACCGGATCTCTCTGGAATTCCTCCTTGAGAGGCCAGGGGGAACAGTGAGGGCACAGGTGGTAGGGCTCGCTTACGAGGCGGGCTAAGCGTCTAGGCTCCATCACAGACAGGTGTGTGGGCAAGTTACTGGACCTCCCCAGGCCTCACCTGCCCACCTATAAAATGGCACCCCAACGGGACCTGCTCCAGGTAGCTGATGACCGTTACAGCCACTTTCCCATCAGCACTTCCGAGCGGCTAAGTGTGTGTCTCCCAGTGGGCCACACTCAGCACCAACTCTCACTAAGGCGAGTGAGGCACACGCTCTCCATCCCCCTCCTCACTTCTGTCTCCTGATCTGAAAACGGAGCCAACCCAAGCCTGGGCCATGACGAGGCAGAATAAAGTGGTCAGGGTGGAGAGGGCACTTGGTCACCCCCAGCGAGCAGCAGCCAGCCACTGCCTGCACCTGGGTCCCTGTCCCCTCAGCTACTTCAGCACAGCGGAGGCTCCCCAGCCGCCAGGCCCGCTCCTGCAGCAAGGCTGCAAACACCAATAATTAGTCTGATAGCAGATAATTACCGCAGGAAAATATTTAAAGGGCCGTTCCATTATCATCCCTAATCTAAAATTATCCACTTCAAGCCTCAGGGCTTTTGTCAAGATTTCTTTTTTCTCTCTTAAGAATTTTTTTTAAAATACTTGTGTTCCCAAGGGATCCCCCTCACCCCAAAACAGGGCAGTTGTGCCCGCCCCTCAGGTCCAGGCCCTGCCCACCCACCAACCCTGCCTGCCCTGCCCTGCCCACTCTAGGAGGTAGCATGTCTCTATGGTAACACTCTCCGCCTCTGGTTTCCATAGTGATCACCCCAGCCGGGCTCTCCACACCCCCCCTTGTTTCCTGGGCAACGGGAGGGGGCATGCAGCCATGTGAACCAACCACCACCCAGGGAAGGCAGGCCCTGCCCTGGCCCCCCACTCCCCATCTGCACCCCATACCAGGAGAAGGAACAGGGCCGACCACCAACAGACACAGCCACGTCGCTGCCCGCATTCAGGTGGCTGCCCTCGATGCCAATCCAGGTGCCGCCCGAAAGGGGCCCTCGCGCAGGGCTCACCCGGTAGAAAGTTGGCGTCTATGGGAGGAAGGGGCTTGCTTGAGCGGGAGGAAAGGCCTGCCCTTCAGGCCAGAGGCCTGCTTGCACCTCCAGCCGGGCCCCAGGCCCTGTGTGCACACGGGCTCTCATACACAGCCCACAGTCAGGGCCCAAAGTGTGCAGGAGGGACCTGGAGTGGGGCCTGGAGACAAGGAGGGGAGGGGAGACCAGAACAGAAGTGTTGCACAATGAAGGGACCCACGGAGGACCAGGAGCTCAATCCAGCCCCTGCACAGCTCCCCCTTAGCCCCCGGGGGGGAGGGGGGGAGAGGGGGGCTTACCACGAAAGTGAAGCGCTTGGGTGACAAGGCCCGGTAGTGGGGGGAACAGTCTCGCACGCACACCTCCACCAGGGCATCATGAGCCCGCACTGTGCTGGCATCCCCAATCTCACAGACGATCCTGCGGGGTGCCAAGGGGCCTCAGTGGGCTGCGGGGTCCAGCCCGGGGCGCCCCTGCCTGCCCACACGGCTCAGGCTGCACTCACTGCTCGGCACTGATGTACTCGCTCTCCACGGGGCTGCACAGCACCTTGCCCACACGCACGCCCAGCCGCACGTCCTCGAAGCGCAGGCCCAGGTTCTCGCCCGTGATGGTGAGCCGCGTGCCCCCCTGCCGCGGGCCCGTCTCGGGGAACAGCTGTGGAGAGGCCGGGGCTGGGACACCCGTGCAGTCCGCTGCGGGCTGAGCAGGGCAGGGAGTGGGAGGAGGCCGGGGGCGGGGGGGCCGGGGGGAGCTGCCTACCTTAAGGATCTTGGGGTCGGTGCAGCGGCTGGTGCCATGGCGGGCATGCATCCAGGCGGCGGGCGAGTCGGCGGGGCAGTGGGGACGCAGGGAGCAGCGGCGCTCGGCCACGCACCAGCCACACTCGAAGCGCGGGTCGGCCTTGAGGCAGAGGCCACAGCTCTCCCGCAGGGCCGGGCACTTGTACAGGTGGGCTGCAGGGAGGGGCGCGGTCAGCTCAGCCCGCCCTCAGGGCCCCCCTGCCCCCGCAAACCCCAGACACCCGCCCAGCTCACCCTGAATGTTCTGAGGGTTGTCGATGACGAAGTTGCCATTCCATACCACTGACAGGTTCACGGGCAGGTCGCTGACATCATTGCCCTCGTAGGAATACTGTGGGCAGTGGGCAGGCGGGTGGTCACATGCACAGCCTAGACTCAGGGGTTGCAGGCCACTGCCCAGGGCAGTGGGTCAGGGCCTGCCTACCCCCCCCGGCTACCTCTGGGACTGGCCCCTGGGAGTGGACTCGGCAGGACAGAGTCCAGGGGCTCTGCCTGTCCAAAATGGCATTTCCAATCTGGAGCCGGAAATCCCACAGAGCCCCCACCCACCAGCCAGCCGAGATGGCTAAGCTGTCACACCCAGTTCTGCCTTGGTCTACCACCCCCCAAACACACACACACACACACACACACACACACCACACACCACACATATACCACACACACAGGGCTTCCTTCCTGGTGGCCAGAATCCCTGCTCTCCAGCCAAGCCTGTCCCCAGCAGTCCCATGAGGCACACCCTCCAGGGTGATGCCCCCACCTCCCCCTGCAGTCTGCCCCACCAGGGAACCAGAACTTCCCAACAGGCCCCCATGGCTATTTCTCAGGGATTCTCTAGGAACCTGTTTCTTTGCTGAATGGATTCAGTAATCCCAACACCAGGACTGCCCTGAGGTGTAAGATGTGTGCCCCTGAGCCCTGGGCACAGGCTGCAGGAAGCAGCATCAGGGAGAGCTCCGCCCTCCCACCCCCCAGGCTGGTCTGGGCTCGGGGACAATACCCTCCCCCGGGGAGCCCGGGCCCAGCACTCCCAGCTGTGTCCCACTTTCTGCAGCTGAGGACCTCCACTCCATCCCAGAGCAATTCATCACTATTTTATCTGCAGGAATTTAATTGGATCCTATCAAATTCCCTGGTACTCCCTTTCCCCTTTCAACATAGTCACAGGAAAGACAAATGTGGGCTGGGGGGTAGGGAAGTGCAGCATGGAGGGGACAGAGGCTTGGGGATGGCAGAGAAACCGGGCAGGAGAGGCACGGACAGAGAGCCGGAGAGCAAGGAGAGAGTGGAAGTGGCCGGGCTGCGGGAGCCAGAGAGAGGCAGCTGGAGGGAATGACAGATGAGGAGATAGGATGGGAAGGGCAGCACAGGCGGGAAGGTGTGGGGGCCTCTCTAGCCAGGTGCCTGCCACGGGGGCCTGGCCAGGTGGCTGACCTGCCCCCAGGAGGCTGCCGGGACCCCCAACCCGCCCCGCTGGACACACAAGGTGCTGGCCAAGGAGCTGCCACCACTGGCAGGAGGCCACACCTCTGATGAGAGGCCTCTCCCTGGGATTCTCCCCTGAGGACTCTCTTCTGGAACAGTGGGGAAACCAAGGCCTGTCAGCTGCCACAGAGCCTGCCGGGGAGAGCTCGAGGCCGGTCTTGGGACCACCAGCTCGACACCGCTCCCTGCACCCACCAGCGAAGGATTTGGGTCTGCAAGATTGCCATCACTAAACTCACTGGGCTTGACCAAAGGCTTTGGAACTGTTACCCTATCAGATTCCAGACTCCAAACGTGACTGCCCGCCGGCCCTCGGGCAACACCACTGGCTACAGTCACCACGCCAGCCACTGCGAACAGTTTCTGGGTCTGGCCACCAGATGCAGAAAAGGAGCTGAGCGCCTGGGCCCTGTGGACTTTGGCCCTCCCGGAAGCACAGGCAGGGCTGGCCCCTGGGCGTCCCGCACACCAGCCTGGCCTCCTCGCCACACGCCCCCGTCTATCTAAGCGAGTCACCCTGTGCCCCGTCTGCGATGTGCTCCCACCAGACATCTGGGTGGCTCCCGGCGTGTCAGCCCCGCGGCCCTCACCCACACAGCCCGGCCCGGCCGAGGGTGCCTTCTGAGCCGTCCCAGGCACACCCGCCCGTGCGCTGTCTCTGCGCTGAGAGCCACGAGGGTGGCCACACACGGGATGCCTGCCCCCCCGCCTCACCGAGGAGTTCTGGCACTGCAGGCTGGAGCTGTTGAAGCGCAGGGCAGTGACGCGCGCCGGGCCCCCTGGGACGTGGAAGAGGCACTCGTACCCGCGCTGGCCCGACTGCGGCTGCGGCAAGTTGCGGGCGGCCAGGGTGATGGGCTTCACCACGCCCACTGGCACGTAGATCTGGGCGGAGGGCAGGATCTGCGGACAGTCCTGGGGGCGACAAGGCTTCGGCTGAAGGGCTGGGCGCCACAAGCGTGGTGCGCCCTCCCCACGGCCGCGACCCCCGTCTGCGCACAGAGCCTTCGAGCATCACAGTGCCCGTCTCACACACCGGCCGACTGAGGACCTCAGAAAGAGCCAGCTGGGCTGGAGGTGGGAGGCCTGGATTCTGCACCTGCAGGGCTGTGGCCTCTCCCCTGTGCACTCAAGTGCCCTCCCGGTGCTCTAGGACCCCGCTGTCCGGCCACTGAGGCGGCCCCATCTGGCCCACAGCTGAAAAGGCCCTTGAGGCAGAAGCAGCCACGAGGGGCGCTGGGGCTGGGAGCTCTCAGCTGGGGGCCCAGGGAGCATGTAAAAATAGCCAGAGCTGGGCAGGAAAACAGCCCAGGCCCCCAGGGCCAGCCTCTCGGCAACAATGACTGATGCAACGGCCCAGCTCCCTTGCAGCACGGCCCACAGCAGCAGCGGGAGGAGACGGCCCCGTGGGAACCACGCTGAGCTGGGCTTTAAATAGAGATGCTGAAAACAGGCCGTAATCCCCAAGCCCTGCAGCAGCTCCCCAGGCGGGCCTGGGCCCAGGCTGGCTCTACCGAGGTTGTGGGGGCCTGAGGAGGGAGCCTGGGCTGTGGCAGGGCACAGCCAGGCAGGCTGACCGCTAGCTGCTGGGTCTGCAGGGATGCTCCCACCGGGGAGAGGCGGG